GAACCCACCAGGTAATCCTAAGACAGCTCAACTGTTATTTATCGCTATTTCTTGTATTACATGAAAATAGGGATGTGCTATATTGACAAATATTTCAACAATATTATTTTCAATATTTTCTGGGATGTTGGCGATAATGATAATTAGACAGTATTTAGCGGAGTGTGTTTTTGTGCTGGTGCCATGGCTGGTTTAGGCCTGTCATGAACAGCTGACTGCCAAAGCTTGTCATTATGTGCAGTGGTCAGTTCACAGCAGTATTTCAAATTTCCACTACAAGGCACTATTTTGTCCCCTAAACTAATTTCGAAGGACATTTTAAGGGCATTTTTTAAATACTTTATTGCATGTATGCATCATATTTTGTCAAGTTGTTATTTTTAACATTAATTTCAATTAGAATAAGACCCTGTTACAAATAAAACAAGGCCTTATGTCTTTCATGGGACGAAGAGGATTAAGTAAGTAGTAAGTACAATTAAAATGAAATCAACAAAATCCATCTTTGCACTGCAGCGGTGACACAGAAGGTGCATCTGGAAAAGCATTTATTTACAGACTGTTTAATGCAGCTCAAAAGTGGGTTGCACGCATTTACAACTACATTTAAAAAAAAAAAGTAATTTTTAATTATGAAATGGTTTTAAGAAAATGAATACTTCAAGTATGAAACACAAACCGCTAGTGGGTGGTGGCAAGTCACTGTTTTAAAGGAATAGTTCACCCAAAAAAGAACATTTGCTGAAAATTTACTCCATCTCAGGCCATCCAAGATGTAGGTGAGTTTGTTTATTCATGAGAACAGAATTGGAGAAATTTAGCACTACACCACTATCTCACCAGTGGATCCTCTGCAGTGAATGGGTGCCTTCAGAATGAGAGTCCAAACAGCTGATAAAAACACGATAATCCACAGGACTCCAGTCTATCAAGTAATGTCTTGTGAAGTGAAAAGCTAAATGTTTTGCAAATTGTTTTTTAAATCTGTTCCAATGAAAGAAGAAACTTGTCTGGAATGGACTGAGGGCGAGTAAATTTCAGCTAATTTTCATTTTTGGGTGAACTATTGTTTTTTTGTTTTTTGAGTAATTTGTTCATATCATTCATTCAGCTGGCTGATTCATTTGGTCATTGAATCATTTTTTAAAATTGATTTGTTCAGATTCCTTCACTACTGAAGCACCCCTATGTTGCTTGGAGATGACACAAAAGCTCAAGAAAGCTTGTCATTTTTACTGATGTGCAAACTGAAATGATAGTAAGCGATGCATATTGCACGCCCCTACTTGAAACCTATGTGTCTGTGTGTCCATAGCCAGTGACAACCGTTCCCAGATGAAGAACATGCAGTGCTTGTGGCTGTGCGGTCTGGAGGTGACCGAAGCCACGCTGAGGCTGATCATCAGACACATGCCTCTGCTCACTCGTCTGGAGCTCTCGCATTGTCCCATCACAGATGGTGCTCTCAACCTCCTCAGCGCCGTGGGCTCCTCCACACGCAACACACTCACACACCTCAACTTAGCAGGTACGCAGACACACGCCAACCCATTTACAGCTCTCAACTAAGGAGTCTAAACGTTAAACATGAATGAAAAAACGTCCCTGTTTGATGTTATCAGGTTGCAGCCGCCTGACAGACCGGTGTCTGGTGTACCTGCGGCGCTTGTCCTGTCTCTCCGTACTGGACCTGCGCGGCTGCAAAGGGGTCTCGCGGCAGGCGTGCGAAAGCTTTATCTCCGAGCTGTCTGTCAATGCCCTCTACTGCCTATCAGATGACAAGCTCATCCAGAGGATATCGTAAAACCCGCCCTCCTCAGGGAGAGAGAGACTTTGTGAATATTTGTGTGACTGAGAAGGAACGCAGAGTCTGTCTGCATGTGTGAGTGATGGTTTCTGTAGGTCTGTAGGGATGCTCTCTGTTTGACAGAGGACCGGGTTTCATGTATAGCGGCTTAGGAGGGAGGAGCTCGAAGCATCCAGGGCTGAGCTTATGTATAAATAGGTCTGGGTGATGAGTATCCTTTTGTAGTTAACTATTTCTCTTTGTTCTGTGTTCACACAAACACTGCAATTGGCAATCAGATCAGTTCTCAGGCCTGTCATGCCATGGGCTCTTCAATTAAAGAGATCAACAGGTGCTATTCCTTTACAGTTTGATTTCTATTTCAGAGCAGCTTTCTGTCTGCTTTTAAAAACCTTTGCTTCTACTGCTGAACGATACTCTAATGCATTGTCCAGATCCTGTCATCTTGATGCAGATCCATTTATCCTCAGTAGTGTGGAGGTTTTGCATTGCATTTCTTTTATTTTTTTTTCCCACTCATCCCCTTAAATGTCATTTTACTTGAGGAATACCTTTTTGTTCTTAATTCCTCTCCCTCCTTAATACCTGAGAGTATAGAGATATATAAATATATAAACACCCTTGTGTAAATGTATTCCTCTCCTGTAGTATGACAGAAAGAATCCTGTAGCATTATAATTATTTTCAGAAGCTTTTTCACTTTTTTTTTTTCTTTTTCAAGAAAATAAAAATAATGGTACAAATGTGAGCTTGAATTGATTTGAATTAATTGGAGATGCTGAAATCTGAAGTTGTTTTATTGAAAATGTTTACAATATGTTCTTACTTGGTTAAGTGATTAGCTAAATGCTAAATTGGTTTAGATGACTTACAACACTGGATATAAATTAATGTGTCCAATGGCTATTAAGACCTAGCCATATAATGCACATGATAATTTATTTATTCATTATAGAATTTTGGCAGCCAGTCCTTTAGCGAACGAATGTCTTCATTCAACCATCAACAGGTAAAAAGATTATGGTTTTCATTATTCCTGCCTAGTGTAAAAATCTGATTTCAGAAGACTGTGCTCAGGTGTGTTTCTAAACTCAGTATATCCTATTCTGATGTAGTCTGATCTTAAAATAGTTCATAAATTTAGCAATATGCTATTCAGATTCTGTCTGGGTTTTAAATGAGTTTGTACATTCAGGACATAATGTTGTCTGATCTCAGATGAGTGTATAAATTCAGCACATGATCCTGTCTGATTGAAGAATCCCTGTCTGATGTTATTTGGTCTGGGATAAATATCTGCTTCTGATGCTGTGGTCATGATGCCGTCTGATTTCAGATAACTATCATTTCAACTGTTGCTCTTTGATCTCAGTTGAGTTCATGAATTCTGTATATGATGCTCTCTGATCTCAGAAAGGTGTACAAACGCGGCTCACCCTGGTCTAATGCAGAGTTCATTAGTACAACCCATGTATTTTAAGGTGGTTTTATAAATTCAAAACATGGTCTGCTGCAGTCTGATCTCAAATGTTCATAAATTCAGCGACATGCCTTTCTGATTCTGTGGCTGGTCTTAAATGAGTTTATACATTTAAGACACAATGCCATCTAATCTCAGATGAGTTTAGAAATGTAGCACATGATCCTGTCTGATCTCATAAGGGTTTCCCTTGTCTGCCTTAATGTGATTTGATCTCAGATCAATTCTGTTTCTGATGCTATTTGATCTCAGATCAGTTTACAAATTCTGGTGCATGATACTGGTTCATCTCAAATGAGTTTATAAATTGTGCTCATGATGCCGTCTGGATTCAGACAACTAGAATACAATGCTGTCTGATCTCAGATGAGTGTATAAACTCACATGATCCTGTCTGATCTCAAAGGTTTATGAATTCACATCCCTGTCTTATGTTATTTAATGTCAGATAAATGTTTCTGATGCTAAGTTTAAAAATTCAGCATGATTCTGTCTCATCACAAATAGAAGTCATGCACTCTAAATTTTAGATAACTTGATGCACCGTGATGCTGATCTCAGTTGAGTTTATAAATTCTGTCTGATCTCAGAAGAGTTAATGAATTTACCACATCCATCTGACATTATTTGATCTTTAATACAATTTTTTTTCATGTGGTCTGACCTCAGGCGAGCTCATCTCCGCTCCATTTATAAATTGCGGTTATGATGCACTATGAAGTTTTTAAATTCAGCATGTGATGTTATCTGATCTCAGTCGAGTTGATATATTCTGTACATGCTGCTGTCTGACGTCAGACGAGCTACGTTCATTCTCCATAAGCGAAGGCGCTCGAGGAGGGTATCCGCAGCCAAGCCTGCATCCGATGCATTTTCACCTGATTCACATGGATGGAAATTAGGCCTCTGCTCGCTTTCCGCGGTGGGTTATCTGCATTTCCCCACCGGTTCAGTACAGCCCGGTCGGAATATAATGGAAAGCTGTCCTTTTCCCAATCAGAGGATAGTGTTAACATCATGTGTCAGCGAGCTCCAGCAACACTAGCCTGCTGAGGAGGATGTTGGGAAGCTATCTGCTAACGCAAGGATGCTTTACTGCAAATAAACCTCTAACTCATCCGTGCTCTCGAGTTTACCTCTTTTAACGGAGCGCCGCTCAATTTAACCGATCAATTTTCAACTCTTTTAGCCTCGAAGAGGATATTTGATAAAGACTTGCAGAGATTTTGACTTAGCTTCGCTAGCTAAGCAGCTGTTGGCTTGACTGTCAGTGGATATTTTCAGCAAACGGGAGATTTTACAGCAAAACAACGCTCGAATTAGACCGGTAATGAGTGTAAATGAGACCTCTGGAGCCCGGAGGGAATGAATTCAGTGAGCAGATTAAACGACACGTTTTATCAAATGAAATAAACGCTTGTGTATCTGTTTAGATGCAAAGGTGGCCGCAACCCAACAAACATTTCCTAAAAACCTACTCGGCGACCAAAAATAAAACGTAACCACGTAAAATAAAATCTAAACTGAAAACTTAAATCAAGCATCACTATTGAAATGGCTGAAGAGGCGTTTCCTTTACATTATCTGGTGTGGAACAATCAGTTTCACGAACTGGACCGAGAGCTTCAGAAAAAGCAGGTACATGGAGTGGTTTAAACTATTTAGTATCTTAATGAATAATTAGTATCTTTTTCCTCTCTAAAGCCGTGTGTTGTGTGTGTTACAGCATGACATTGAGCGGCTGGACCCGCGCGGGCGCACACCGCTCGAGCTGTCCGTGTGTCTCGGGCATCTGGAGTCCTCGCGCGTGCTTCTGAGACACAGCGCGGATCCCACACACAGCAACACACAGGGCTGGACAGGTACAGCTTCACACACTGATCAGCCCTTCCGTCCTTTACCCGTGCAGTTCCCAAACCCCGCGTGACTTTACTCAGTGGAAAACAAGAGAAGAGATGGGCTTTTATGATGTTCTAAAGCTAGTTGGATTCCATGCATTTGACCTAAAAAAATCACACTATGAAAAATATGCATATAAATAATTTTTAAACCATTTTTTTTTAAATCCGTAAACTAAATATTATAAACAACATTGTAACTATTTTCCAAAAAATATTAAGGAGCTCCAACAGTTTCCAACATTCAGAATCAGAATCAGAAAGAGCTTTATTGCCAAGTATGTTTGCACATACAAGGAATTTGTTATAGTGTCACAAGTTTCCAGTACATGGAGACAACAACAACACGCAGATAATAAAAATAAGATGTGAATAAAATACACATGCATAAATATAAACCACAAAAAAAAAAAAATTTGTATGTACAGGTGTGCTATAGATAGAATAGGAATAGAATAAAATAAAATAAAGTTGTAGGGATGTACTAGGGTTTAGGGTGATAAATAAGTATAAGGTTATTGCACATACTTTAATTGCACAATGGGAGAACATTAACTGTTCATGAGGTAGATTGCCTGGGGAAAGAAACTGTTCTTGTGCCTGGCTGTCCTGGTATTCGGTGCTCTGTAACGCCGACCAGATGGCAAAAGTTCAAAAAGGAGATGGCTTGGATGTGATGGATCCAGAGTGATTTTCTGAGCCCTTTTCCTCACTCTGGATGTATACAGTTCTTGGAGGGTAGGCAGGGGGGCACCAATTTATTTATTGATAATAAATCGGCATATTATAATTTCTGAAGGATCGCGTGACTGATGAAAATTCAGCTTTTCCATCATAGGAATAAATTATATTTTAAAGTATATTAAAATAGAAAACTGTTATTTTAAATTGCAGTAATATTTCACAATATTACTGTTTTAACTGTATTATTGGTCGCATAAATGAAGCCTTGATAAGCATAAGAGACTTCTTTAAAAAACAAAATTACTGATCCCAAACTTTTGAACGGTGATGTGTGTG